TGAAAACCACAATGATTAGGGAAGAGCTTTCTATTCTTAACCCTCTCTGCTAGGAGTGTGACCCACAATCACATCTTTTGGACAAAAAAGAAAGAAATCCAAGTTATCAGTCAGAATTTCACATGACAAGAACCTGTAAGACACAAGACGCAGTTTGTTTTAAGTTTTGTGAAGAGGTTTGCCAAAGTTTTTGCTGAAGTAGAAACACCAGGTCAAGTCGCAATGGGAACATTCTGGCGTGATTCTTCCAAGCAGTGGGAATTTTTTAACAACCTATAATGGGTTATTAAATAATGGCCAAATAAATGGTTATTAAATGGTTATTAAATAATGGCCAAACAATCCTTTCAGAAAAAAAACAGAAAACAGATCATTTTCAGCAGTTGTGCCAAAATGAGCCTCAGTTTTTTTTCTAAGCACTCTTATCTTCTCAGTTTGAGTCAGTACATAAACACACTACAGAATCTTGCCATCACCAATCTCTGCCCATTATGACAAGAATTTTTGCACCTAAGTAAACAGCTGATCTGCCAGGACTGACATGATGAAATGCAACCCTGAGCCTACAAGACTTGAATGCAAGGGGATGGAAATGGAAGCCTTCTGACTGTTCAGCTACTCTGCTTCAATGCAGAGGTTTGACACTGCCAGTCCCACACCTGTGCTGTGCTGCTGGAGGCCTGTGAGCACCTGGAAGTTGCTTACTCTCCCTCCTGACCAGGGTGCGCCGAGCTCATCAGGCACACGAGCGTGACAGAGAAGTGGATGGGGAAAAAAGAACAAAACTGGGAAATGCCTTTCTTGTGAATAAAGGACTTCACAGCCCTCTTTCTGACAGCTAACATACTTGCACTCCCTGTATGACTACCTTTAAATTAATGCTATATATTAGCTTGTTCTTACTCTGATTTATAGCAACAAAGACTTACTCTTAATGACATGAGATTACCAACTACTGTTGACTAGATGATTCCTAAATTATTAAAATGACTCTTTGAGTGTTCCTATAGCTTTTACTACTGATGTATTTTTTATCCCATTTAAAACAAAACAAATGCATCCCAAGTCCTTTGGAGTCAACACTATAATATTACCTCACTCTCTTGTGAGCTTGAGCTGTTATCTTTGCACTGCTAGCAACTATTAGGCGCTAGTGCTCTCACGGTGTGCTCTCAGTAGGAGAAAAACTACATTACAAAATTCTAGAAATTTGTATCCTGTCGCCCTATAGAACTCATCTCTGCTTCACTGATTAAAAAACTACTACCCAGAACAGCTAACAGAATTGCTTCATTTTCTGCTCATGATTAAGAGTCATAACACATTTTCTGTGCTGAAGCACCTGGAGTGTACAGTCCATCAACTAAGCTCTCTGAGCACTGACAGTCACATTTATCTGTTTTACAGTTCAGTTCTGATCTACTAAGGACTGTAAGCCACAGCCAAAATACATAAATATTTAAAAGCAATGCATTCTGTAAACACATTTGGCCAAATGAAACTATAGTAACAATAGCAACTAGAGTGTCAAAACAACTCAAATTACCTAAAATACAAAAAAAAAAAAATCCCTATTTCTCACATTTGGATTACTCCAGTCTTAAAACTGATTTTTTTTTTGTATTTTACCTCTGCTGTCCAGACAAATGTAACAGCAATGTTCAGCAAACAAGCAGTAAGTATTGGAAGAAACTAATTTTCTCACATGTAACTTTTTCTAACTGACATATGAATTGAGTAATGTACTTGGAACTGCAAAACTCAGCCAAAGAAGATGCAACAATACCAGAAGCAATGTTAATAACTGACCACTAAAGCTAGCAAGTGTTACAAGAAAACCACAAGGGTGAGAAAAGGAAAAGAAGCACTGGAGTCACAGCCCATCCAGCATTGCACTGGCCAGCTTGCCGTGCCCTCATAAAAGTTTTAGAGTATTGCTGCACTAGAAACAGAAGTGCTGCCTTGATGGGACTTGGAGGAAAGGTGTGAGAAGCAGTATCCTACAGACAGACACACTGTTAAGATATGGACAATACAACATTTCATTCTGAATTAGAAATGGGAAAATGCGATGTGCCCTACAGATAAAGCAGCCAAAAAGTAGGAAAAGCAACCCCACACTTTACCTGCATAAAGCACTCACAGTGAGCACAAACAGAAGCAGCAGATTCTGACTGGAACATTCAAACCAAAGGGTAGAGGTCAAATAGTTCCCCAGGAACTCTCCACTACTGCCAGCCATTGAGGGCAGAGGACTACTGCTAACAGCTGAGCTATAGTTCAGCCAGGGATTTTATTCAATCTCCTTGTGGGACTACAACATACCCCTGCAGCAAAAGAGATTGAGCTGAAAAAAGCATTGTCGTTGGGTTTTGTGTTTTTCTGTTGTTCTTCTGTTCAAAACTATTACTGCTTAAAAAAATACACACTGAAATCAGAACTATTAAAATAGTGGTACATATATGCTGGGATGAGGCAGCCAGCAACACATTCACAAGAAGCAAGAATTCATTTAAGGAAGGACTACTGCACATATTATTCAGTCATTGGACCAACCTATTTTTTTAGGCAAAAAACAGTTTTACCTCTTTTTAGAAAGAGAGAGGGATGGCATAGTCAGTGAACAGAAAAAGAAGATCAAAGGCTATTTGCTTTACTACTGTAAACATAAACCTCTCAAACTATTTTTCAGTTCTGCAAAAACTTTTAGAAGATTGTTTGAACCGAATGTCTCAGGACAATTACTGTATTTTCAATTTGTAAAACAGCTACAAAAAATATTTAATAAACTGCATACTTCTAGTACTACAGGTTCAGAGTCACCTGAGAGAATGAGTAACAGTAAATCATCCAAAGCACTGCTGCTTCCCTTCTAAAAAATTTAGATATGTAAAATGCTACGGAAAATTTACTGGTTTAATTTCTTAAAAAGACAGTCCAACATTCACCAGAAAAAGGAAAGTCAACTGAATGTACTGTTTGATGAGCTTTTATCATGACAGCACCCACACTGAAGTCTTCTGTTTCTGTACAAGAAGTAAAGCAACGTGTAAAACTCACATTTTCTACAGTAAGAATTTCAAGCCCAACATTTACCTATTCTAATTCTTCAATTATTTACTAATTTTCTGTAATTGACCCTTTTCTGAAGCTCAGTACAGTATTTGCTCACAATCAAGTGCCATGAAACAGATCAATGAGGCATGATTATTACAGAGAATCTATTCATTTAGCCCATAAAAAAACTTAAAAAATACCTATCTAAGAATACAGAAATTCAGTAAATTATTTAATATGGAACTATCCATGGATTCTAATATCTAGATTTACAAGACTGCCCTGTGTGATTGTTTTCAATATTATTCCCAGCTGTATGTCCTCAAATTAATGTTGTATGTAAGAAATACTGGAACTCTCTGCCAACATCTGCAGCAGTTGTCAGGATGGGAAGTTCCTTCAATTTCTGTAAGAGTCATCTCTTCAATTAATGAAGATGTGCAGTTAAGCAGCAAAAGAATACCCAGTATGAAATCTGATCACACACCAAATGGGCATCAAGAACATGCCAGAACTGAGTAATAATAAGAGGGGGTTTAAGTCTATTTTAAATATAGAAATGGAAATGGAGTAGATATACTAAAGGAAAGAACACCTGACATGGATGTTCTGCACTGTAATGTGTACAACTGCATCCAACTGCAGTCAGAAAATCGAGGCTTAACTGAAGCAGGTAACTACTGCACTCAGTACAAGAACCATGCTTGAACTAGTACACCTTACTTTGTCCTCTACTGTGTTGAATAGGAAAAGGCTTGCTGAAAATAACCTGTTCCTCTGTAGTTTACAATCAGTATTAATAACCCAGGTTATGTAAAAATTGCACAAAGTGTCAAGAAAAAATGTAAAAATATTTCTTTACATGCACAATTACCTTACAGTATTTGTCAGTTTCGAATATTTTGTGTGGCCAGCTGTTCTTAAGTCTGTATAGAAGTTGGAACTCTTTAATAAACAAAAATGGAAGAGTCGAAAACAAACACAGAGCACAAGACTAGTGTCAGACCAGAGTCTCTTTTGGTCTTCTTTTTAAAACTATTTAACTAGGCCAACTTGCAAGTATGGACAGGGCAACAAGCCGTCTTTCAAAAAAAGAATTCAATTACATATTAAGTACACAATGTTTTATATTAAAACACAACATGATTACCAAAAAATTATTTTCTCCCTCCCAAAGCCTTCAAAATAGAATTTTCTTACACATTACCACTCTGAAAACTACACCAAAGTAACCCACTATCAGTAATGACACACATCTCTTTCTCACAATCTTCTTGAGCTCTTCATCTCTAATAATGAAATAAATCTAACAAAAAGACAGAGGTCTGAGAGGTCATAAACAGCACACTGTGAAGTCCTGATCTTTGCTCGACTGTAACTGGATCTACCAGGTATTATCAGGTAAAAGAAACACATACTATCAGATTTAGAATTGAAGATCCAATATTTCTCAAGATGCAAATCAAAAGAGATTAGCTCTTAGGAAAATGTAGAAAACTCTCGCTTTCTGTAAGAACTGTGCTTGTGTTGATTGAAAGGTTTGACACTGGCATTCCAAACAATAACAGCAGTTCATAAAACATAATGGTCCAAAATGACTTTCAAATTGTGTAACTACATGACAACTCAAATAAATGGCAAAAATCCAAAACAACAAGAGAGAAAACAAGAATTAAAATATGCTCTACAAAAATACATTTGAAATGTTAATTTGCAGAATAAGGCCATAAATAGTAAATATCACAGTGTCAATTTGAAGTTCTACAAGGCACAGCAAATTGGGTTTGGGGGTAAGTAAACATATCAAAACAGTAATCAGGTTCTAAAAGCACACACAACCAAAAAGGAAAAAAATCTTTAAATTCTAGTACTAACATACTTTGTACAAGCAATGTAATGCCACATATTGTCTTGAATACTAGAGGGAATTTCATTAGACATACCTTTTCTCTCTGTTTTCTGTGCAGGGATGGAAGATGCGGATGTAGACAGTTTTGATAAAGTAGATGCTCCATTAGCATCAAAGGATTTCTTTGGCTGGTGATCAGATTGTAGAGAAAATGGACTAGGAGGAACAGTGCTTGGGGTAGCAGTTGGATGAACCACTGTTTTGATGGGATGCTGTACTGGAGTAGAACTACTGTGAGTCTCTGCTCTTGGCAGTCTGTAGTCTCTGTCATTGTGCCTGCTCGTTTGAGATAAAATATTCTGTGGGAGCATACTGCTGGTGTCACTGGAATGCTTGTCTTCCACTTTTTTTCAGGATTCCCCAAGTAACATTGCAATAAAACAAAAACAAAAAAAAAGGATTAAATTAGAAACAAGTCTAAGATTGCAGTAACTGATTAATACAGCTGCACACCAACAACTAGAGCTGATTGAACTTCTTATGATTAAAAAAAGCTTCAAGTAGATCAGCATCAAAAAGGCAAAATTTAATTCTACTCACTGACAAAATGCATTTTCTCTGACCTTTGCTTGATTTAGAGCTCCAGTTAAGTACTGTATTTTGATGAAAGGCTGCTTTATAATGAGTGTTACAGTCAAGTTAACTTTTGAAGTCTCCTAAAAAGATCTAAATCAAGATCTATTATTTCCATCTTGTATTTAGTGTGAAGAGATAATTTATGCCGTTTTTCTTTTGTTCATTAAAATCCCTGAACATCAAGTATCATTTAATAGTTTCGCATTCTACGCCTTCAAAGAATTCCTCTCCATGTCACTTGAGTACTACTACAACAAGCTTACTTACAGTTAATTCAAGGCATTTATATATATTAAATGAATGACTCATCTGCACTGGTCACATGATGATAGACTAAAATATGCTACTCAGAGAACATACCAAGTAAACAGAGAGTAATTCTTCTATAGATTCTTACATTTTCACCTGTCACAAAACAAATACTCACTGCATTATGCATGACTGCTATCTTTTTGCAGCATCCAGTATATTTTAGCATACACAGTAAGTTTCAGTTTACACAGAAAAATACCCCTTTATACATCACCTTGTCAAATCCCAAGAGCGTGGGTAGAAGAATAATCCTTTGGCTTCTGCTTTTAAACTACCCTGAGAACTATGCTACAAATTTATCCAAACTACATGAGGATACAGACAGGATCTTACAGTACAACTATTTTCCAGAAGAAAACTGACAAAGATTAAAGCTAGGTATCAGGATAAAAATCTCCAAGTTACATAAATTCACAGTCCAGGGAAGATTTTGCTAAGAGTATTGGTGAGGTAAAAATGCTCTCAATAACACACACCTCTGAACAATGCCTCTGAAAACCCTGATATCAAAATCCATTGAATGAGGTTATTATTTTAGATGTGAAATCTTTATTTTTAAGGTCAGAATATGACATTAGCAGGTCTCAATGATCACAACAGTCCAACTAAATTACAGATGATGCAAGTTGTTTAAGTAACTACCCATGAAGATAATTGAACTCGACAGTAAAAGCCACAAAAAGGAGGAGAACCATGAAAAGCATTAAGCAAATGTTGAACTAGTAAAGTTATTTAAAGAAACCACATTTGTGAGAGTTAACTGTGCTACCCATTTGGCTTTTATATATGAAAAGGGATTTTTCATATATAGCTAAGGAAAGGGATTTTTTTATAGTTTTTGAAGTTTGGAAAAGAAAACAGTAATGCAAGCAAGACAAGAATATATTGCTGTAAAAAAACCACATACTTCCACTGGCAAACCCACTGGCAGCTGTCGCCTGCATCACCTCTCTTCTGTAATCCCTATCTTTTGGAAAACTGTTAACTGACATTTTGCTTGCTTCTTTTTGTCTCTGCTCTCTGAAGAAAAGAAAACAAAAGTTAGGTAAAAACGTATATTATCTAATAATAAACCAGTTTCTATAAATTACATGAGATGAATTAAACTGTTAAGTGCTTGCTGCTACAGGCGGGGTTAGCAAACCCCAGCCACTGCTTCCTTACATGCGTGCTTGCTGAAGCCCACAATATACCAGCTCAGCTCACGAATCTTGTCCAAAATAAAATCCACCCAAAAAACCCACCCTGAAGCAAAACATTTAAAACAACACTCAACCAGAAAACTAAAACAAAAATCCAACGAAAACAAACAAATAAACCCCAGAACAAAACAAAAACCAAACCAACCAACCAAACAACAAAACTCCCCCAACAAATCATCTCCACACAAACCAACCATACGTCCCTCTCAGGCTCTGGATTGTCAAGGGATAAAAGAGGTGCTAGAGGTCATGGTAAGGGTAGGAACACAGCAGACTTAGAGCACAATCTTTTATAGCAGTAATCTATTAGATAAGCTCAAGTGCTCTGAAATGTGCTTAAGAATATTTGTTCTTTATACAATTAAAACAAATACAAACATATACCTTTCCAGCCACTCTTTTGGTTTTTCCCACTGTGAAACTTCTGTCCGGCAGTTGTAGTAGTATTTTTTGCCTGAAGAGCTGATGTGCTCAGACCAATCATCCGCAGAATCATAAGCCTTTAAAACAAAACAGTGTTGGACAAAAGTCTACTTGAGAGTTTGGATATACAAATTTAGTATCTTTCATTGTTTTTAAAACTACATGGCACCTTTTATGTACTCATATCACTGCGTTCCACCACCTCTAAATGACAGCTTGAACACATGACCAGTATCCTCCTGCTGCATTCTGCAATGGTTTCCTTTATTCCCATCAAACCCCTTAACAAAATCTAGTAGTACATTTAGTGGTATACAGTAAGGTTAATACTGATAACCTTAGTTTCCTTCACCTTACAACATCCTCAGAATTATTATCTTTCCAAAATTTTTCCAGTGATCACAAACTTAGCAATTTTAATTTTGGGCAATTTTTTAAAAACACCACTGCAACTACTAAAACTTTGATGCTGAAGTGACTAAAATTCACAATACGTAATGCATTTCAAGTAAGTAAAATCACACTGTCTACCCTAGATTTACCACAAAGTTAATGGAAAATATTTCTGTTTCTATGTCATTAAAATAATCTAATATTTTAAAATGAACAACAGGTAACTCAAAGCTCTAATGATTACCAATTAGAATAGTTTTAAAACATATAACAACTGCAGGTTGGGTTTACAGAGTGTTTATAAAATAAAGACTGATGTTGGAAAACTCAAGCACAATGTATATGCTGCCTGTCTTAGACAAAATTATGAAAATATGGGGTGTATGAACAGGGCAACACGTTGATAAAAATCAATCACAAATACTCACTGCATCAGAAGTTTTGCTTGGATTATTGCTGGGATTAGAAGAATGGGAATTTGAACTATGAAGAGCACTGTGGTTGTGTGAATTTTCTTGTGGAGAGTAACTGGTCCCTGAAAGAAAAGACGAAGACTATTCACCACGCATGATTTCAAAGTAATCAACCATCTGCATTCTATGGAGGTGGAAGGGCAAAGAAAAGGGAAAAGGAAAGTTGTCCAAAATCTGGATCACAGCCAGGTGAACCATAGTTCAGAAGCAGAAGTATTTCAAGAGACCACATGCAAATTTTTTTTTTTCACATAGCATAAAACTTACTTTGATTTTATAATTGCGAGTAATCCAGTAAGACCAGTGAATCGACAAACTTTCAAACTTTATTTCATTACCAGCAAACAAACAGCCTTTATAATAGTCCTAACATGCCAATTCAGAAATTAACAGACATTTTCTCCTCAACCTTAGATCAGAAAATTTAAATAGGCTTATCAACAGCCTACATGGTTAGATGCATAAAATCAGGTTTAAAGTTTACTGAAGCAATGCTGTTTTCTTAAAACTGTTGTTTTCTTTTGAGACTACTTGTTATTAGTTCTACACAACTATTTCTGTTTATGCATACTGAGCAGACTAAATTTTCCTGCACCTCAGTCTCTGCAATAAAGGCACTGGCATCTAGAACACCAAAAGCAGCACTTCCCAAATGGCCACCTGCTTCTGGCCTCCCTACCAACTACTCTTCAAGGCAACTTGGTTTTCCTCAATGTGAAAACACTTGAACAGCTGAAACAAGAAAGGAGATAATTCTCATCATCTTTTAGATCTGTGTTTGTGCCTAAGCTCAAGTCACCTGAACAGTTCATCTACAATTAAACAAGAATACCCATTTCTCACTGCAACCTTCTTTTAAATTTCTTGCTCTTAAGGCTTCCCATTTCTCAAAAATTCTTAAGCAAGTAAAAACTTTTCCATTATTCTAGATGGGATTTTTCTAAAGTTCCAAATGTTCACATAAATCGCGCCAAACTAAGTAATTTTCTTACACATTTCAGGAAAAAACCAAGATATTGCAAATATAATATTCTCCCAGCTTTTACTTTCCCTTTCCCTACTGAGAAATTTCTCAATACCCAGGAGTACTACATGAAGTAACACTAGCTTCACAAGTTGTATAGCAATCTAGTATTCATAGTAAATAAGAAGTCAAAGTGATTTGAAAATGGCAAAGACTTTATCTTATGGGCAATTACAGTAAAGAACAGTAAAGGACTGATAGGTAGGAGTGAATGGAGTCATAAAAAAATAATTGTTTCAAAGTCTTCTGAGCTACACACACAGAACACGAGTAAATGACACAGTATGGTGCAAAATGAGAGCCATTATAATGCAAATTTTGTCTTCTGAGCCTTCTAACTACACAAGCAGTGACAAAATTGCAATTTCAAACTTCTTTCTCCCCACCTTTAACCCTGCAGGTAAGAAAGACAGTCCACCACAAAAAAGCAAAAAGAGGTAGACCACCACCAAACTGTTCAGTATTCTATAAAGATTAAAGGTCAATCTGCACAAACATGAGTTACTGCAACCTGAACCAGCACTACCTCAAAACCTTTCCCTACACTATGTTGGCTAAAATTGTATGTTATTCTCTGTAAAGATATAAGGGGAAAAAAGTAGGGATAATAGAGCAAGTCTCATACTCAAATACAGTTTTTCAAAAGCTAGACCATAATCCTACACCAAAGGTATCTTGCATGCTCAGAGCCAGGCAGAATGACTTAGCATGGGGGCAAGTTAGGCTTGTCAAAGCAATACTAACAACCATGACACACTTGTGATGCACATGCCTAACAACAACAACAAAACCCCATGTATAGATGCATTTGATTCCCCCCCCAAGATATAAGTAGTATATCATAATTACGAGGCTGTGCTCCACAGCTACACCAACATTCTCAATTTTTTTAAGACACTGATCATGTAGGGAAATAGCTGTTTAGCAATTCTTTTAGTATTTATTTACTGTATCATTCTACTGAGGTAAAAATCATTAAAACTTTTTAATGTATTTTTGTAGGTTGTTCAACACAGACATATTTTAATTAATTTCTCCTAAGAGGTAAAATCATCTCCCTTTTTCAAGGAAAAAAATGAGATGAAAATTTACCAGATGGCTTTGTTTGAACAGTCCTTTCAAAACATTAGAAAGCACCAATGCACTTAATTTACCTGTAAATTAATTAATTAATTAATCCTGTACCACAGCTGCAGTATCACTACACTTTGTTCAACATGCTCAAGACATACATGGTGATTTTTAGATTCTGTAGTGGCCTAAATACACCGCCAGGTGTATTTACACCTAAATCTAACAGGCATTTCCCAAACATGAGAAAAAGCCAACAACATACCTATTATAACAATAAAATATTGTGAAGCCAATTCTATCCAGCCCATAAACAAGCCCCTCAAATTCACTGTGCAGACTTGAACCCCACATGGTCTATCAGCTCAGCAGCATGCCCCCAAGTCACGCAGTGCCCAGCCCCAGTACCGAGTCAGCAAGGGCTCTGCAGGAGTATCAGCGCAGCTGCAGCAAGTCACACCCACCTCCAGCTGGCCCCGATAGGCAAATGCTGCCAGGCAGCAGTTTCCTCAAGAGGGGCCCCTGGGCCTCTCTGAGCTGCAGTCCTCCCAGACTGTCCACCCACACGCTCCATCCATCAGGAACCCTGTCCTACCTCAGCTGCTTAAGAACTCATCATGGCTGCTCCAGCAATGCTGACTGCCTCATGTGACTAGGACAGGCGAAACCTGCCTTTACAGAGCTGGCCATAAATGCACGCTGATGGTGCAGGGTAATTACAGGTGTGGGTTCACCACCCAGACCTCCATTCTGTTTTACACATAATAGCACTTTATGTTTGGATCTGTACCCAAACTTCAGGAATGAGCATACAAAAGGACTGCTGAACTGCTGCTTACTGTTGGAAAGCTTACAAGACCAAAGTAGATGATACTCTGGGGAACAAGAATTTTAGGAACTTCAAACAAGTCAAGGGCTTAAACACTGTATGTACACATGACAACCATATTACCAAATTACCTTTTTATACTGAGGCAGCAAGGTTTTAGTATGTGGTTAAATCAATGCACAGCTGTCACCAAGGAATCTGACAATCCAGCCAAGCAAGCAGTGCCAGCTCAAGTTGTCTGGGAAAGTTGCTGAGGATGTTTAAAAGGCCAGAAAGCAACCCACAAGCAGAGGTCTACCTCTAAAAACAGGGGGGTTCCCCTCACTTGAATGATAATTTGCAAAGCCTAACCCCAAGCAATTCCAAGGTGGCTGTGACTTGCCACCAGCTCTGTATCTCCCAGCTGCATGCCTGGCAAAGGAGATCCTGAGAACAGGATCACCAAGATTAGTCCAGACCCCAGAAACAGGCCTGATAAGGGAGAGAGCATACTACTGTCCCTTGAGACAGCTCCTCATGGCAACTTCTCACCTTCTCCTCTTACAGTTAGACCTTCCTTACTAGCTACACTTTCCTCAGGAAAGAGGAACAAAGACTTGGTTTTGCACTCCTTATTAGCATATTTTCAGATTTAGCAATTGCTGATATATATCTTTGATGCACCATAAGGAAATTTATATTTTGTTATAAATACTCCAATTCGGTTTCAGAACTCCCCATGGAAATGTTTACTGCACAATTACAGTGAGTTTCCTCAGTTTAATCATTATTTTGAAAGCAGTTGAAGCTGGAAAGAGCTACTCCTCACTGGAAGATGGCCAACAAGGGCATCAGCCCTACAGTTATATAAAACTGTAGTGGTGCAACTGTGTGAGCAAGTCTTCCCTAGTGATTAACAAGTCATAGGGCAGGTCAGAATCAAGGCTAAAATATCACAGCTATCTCCTAACCTTTCCAACAAAAATCACATCTTCCTTACTAATGCATGAAAATCACCAGAAAGCACAAAGAGCAAGGGTCTGGGAACCAATTCAAAATTGACTTAATGCCTACTACAGATCTGAGATTCTGTTACAAAAACATTAAAATGAGTCCTAGTGTAAGTTGTTTCTGTATCCCAACTGCTGAATCCAAGACACTTTGAACTGCAACAAAGGCTCAAAACTATCCTGGACTTGAAAAACAGATTTAACATAGGCTGAAATAAGAATACTCCATTTTCCAATACAGTCAACTTTTTCTAGCAATTATCAAGTTAATGAGCATCTCCATTAACATCACTTCAATTCTGAAAGTATAAGAAGTTCAAATTTTGAGTTAACTAAAGATCAGACTGCTCTAATAAAGCACCTGGTTTCCCTCCCTTCTCCCCTACCATCATCAAGACCCAACCAAAACTCCTTCCTTTCCAAAACCTGTGAACTTACGCTGGCAATTACAACATCCACCTGAAACCACCTAAAATAAATTTTCTTGCCATTTGATTAGAATAATCTAATATATGACTGTGCATTACCCACCATCCTCTGGCATCCAAGTATCTTAGCCTAATTAACTCTTTTTTGGTTCATAACATTGCACAGTATCAGAATCATAAAATCTTCTACTGAAATGCACAAGTGGGAACACAGAGACATTAGAGTTGCAGTATACATACTGCTGTACCACATGACAGTTAACTTTACACAGTTCACTGCCAATAGAGCATTTATGTTTTCTTTTTAGCCACAAAAATACCTTGTCAATATCCTAACTCTCATTTTGTCCATACTGAAAAGTGTCAGTGTAGATATAAAATAAAGGAAGCTTACAGGTGCTCACCAGCTGGAACTCAGAGATGGTCTGCTCCTCCAGCCCCTCTAGAGGGAACTGGGAATCAGGAAGGGCTTTAGGAGAGTCACTGTTTCTGTGCCCACATACTGGGCATGTGGAAAGAAACACTAGGCAGCAGAAAAAGGGCAAGGAAGGTCATTACCTTTGTGACAAGTCTATCCATACTTTCTATGACTCCATGTTCCACCTCTCAGCTAACATACAATCAAATTCATTAAACTACAGACAATATCAGAATCTGAACTTCCTCAAAAGAACAAATACTAGCAAGTAACAGATACCAATTAGTTGTTAACAGAGAAAAC